TGTACGCCAGGCTGGCTGCAGCTTGTGCAGGTAAAGAAAGATGACTGAATCTGACAAGAGTAGAAAACCTTTATGTGGAAATATAAAAAAAGCAAATATGAAGGAAAGGAGCTGGAGGACAGAGCTCACCATTCAAAGGCATTTATGTGAAACCTACAACCTCCCCTTTCTATTTATTTGTGCACTTTAATAAACAAATCTGAGCATAAATATGTTCCCGCTCTGCATCCCAAACGTCTCTTTTAGGGTTTATTATTAATTATTTTCAGGGTTTTGTTCCTGCAGGTGAACAAAGTTTGTCAACAGTTGGTCACAAATTGCTCAGAAATTTTTAATTCAAACTCACATGAAGCATCGGAATGAGAAATGCTGTGTGGCTTTTGTTTATTAGAGCATGAGTTACTTTTAAATGGTCTTCATGAATTTGCAATGAGTATCTTTATCAAAAAAGTGTTTTTCAATTCTTTAAAAAATAATAATAAAAAAACATTAATGATTTTTCACAGCAGACGTGTTGCAGCCATTCAATAACATTTTTTCTCAGCATGACGGCAACAAGTGAAATCATTACAGCAGCAAGCTGCTGATGGCATCTTACCAAACATTGTTTGACCATTTATCATTAAAAAAAAATCAAACTGAACTAAAGTCATAAGAAAGAGATTCTTCATTTCACAAACAAAAACACGAGGGGACACTGCTTTTTTAAAGGCAATTAATTTACACCTAATATATGTTTGTTCAAAATGCTTTTTTAYAGAAATGAGAAGATAAAACATGTCGGCTTCACCTAAAACGAGTAAAATTTTGAATCCAGTTTGATTTCAAAGCAGAAAATTGTGATTTTTGATGCCTCTTACTCTAAAAAAATAAAACTTATTTATGTTTAAAGGCTATGTAACTTGTTTATGTTCAATCAGAAACTTGTCTAAAAGAATAAAAATGTTAAAAAAACTATTTATTTTACTGTGACATCTTGTTTTGAATGTTTTGTTTTGCACAACAGTCTCGTGTTCAAACATTTAGACAACCGTTGACCCTAAATCCGTTTCTGTGAGTCTGAGTGAAGCTAAAGAGTCCATGAAGCCCTGCAGCAGTGCTCCAACTCCGAAGCCCCGCGGCTTCGTGAGACCCGGCCCGTTAGGCGATTAGCCCGTCTTACATTCCCGGTGATCGGATTAGACGGTTCCCACAGTCTAGTCTGAAGCTACTCCCGACCCGCAGCTCCGGAGAGCATCTCAATATCCAATTTCACAGCTTTCTAAACCTGGATCATAGAGGCTATTTATTACTGTCACAGTCTGTGTGCTGAGGAAGAGGAGGAGGAAGAGGGGKCACTTTTTGTGTTTTGTCTGCTTCGATGCAACACGACGATAAACAAGACAAACGGCTGATGATGTCTTAAATCGGGGGAGTCAAACTCGTTTTCACCGAGGGCCACCTCAACGAGCCTGTTTGAATTAACGCCAACATTTCCTGTTTGACTTCGTCAAAACAGAAACAGTCATGTTCCTCGTCTCATTTCTACAGCTGAGCACCGCTGACAAACACTAACTGAGCTCTACCTGGTATTTCCTGCATAGAAACACTGAAAAGTACCAAGTGTATGACTGACTAAATGTGAAATAAATACTACAGAAATACTTTTAAAAGTAAGAGTTTTACTCACTGTTGAGAAGTGGCAAAGTAAAGCTTTATCGAGCTGCATTATGGGAAATGTAGTTTATGGTTTTCAACTAAACTGCTCAGGGGGTGGGGCAAGTTTTATCCTTCACCTTTTAAGTTAGTTTATTTTGTTGCATTGAATCATAAATTTAGTTTAACACTGATATAAAACTATCCTCATATAAAAGTAAGTTAAAAATAGTTTTTGTTTGGTGAACTTGACGTGAGTCATGCGGCCCGCGGGCCTTGAGTTTGACACGTCTTAAAGCTTTCCAAAATGCACAGCATCTCTGTAAAACAATAAAAAAAGATCAAAACTGTGTCTGCTTTCAGAAGTTTCTCCCAAAATTTAAGCAGATGTCAACCAAAGGAAATGTTGTTCATTTAGAGGCTAAACACTGCAAAAACTGTCCACCTAACCAAGTTTTAAAATCTTATTTCCAGCCAAAAAGTCTTTTTGATCTTGTTT